TGAGGCTTGGCCTGCCGCCTCCACGCACCTGCTGCGATTTGCGTGTCTAAGTTCAGATTAGTAAACCAATGAGCTGGGGCGTGAAGGGCAAGTTAGCAAATGGACAGATACTGGTTTGCATAAGCCATGTTCTCTAGTTAAACTCACAACCAGGACGTTTCAAACGCCAACACACTACAGGGAGATGAGTGAATGACAATGACCCTGGGAGCTCTGACCTCCCCGCTCCCGCCCCCCGTGTCTGACACACACACACACACACACACACACACGCACACACACACACACGCAGGTTAGAACCACGGGGAGCCAGGGTCCCTGGGTCAGAGCTGCGCTCTGCGTACGCACTGTCTCTGCAGGGCCTGGCGCACGGGGAACTTCTTCCCGCAGGGCTTGCACTTGAACTCCTTCTCCCCGTCGGGCGTCCGGTGCAGTGCGTGCAGGTGCTCAGCCAGGACCTCCTCGCTGGGGAAGCTGGACTCGCACTGGGGACAGGCGTGGTCCTCGCCACAGCCGTGGCAGCCTGCGCGGTCACAAGGGCGTGGGTTATCGGACGCGAATGAGAAGAGCTCTCAGGTCGCCCCGCGTTTTAAAACCACATCAGCTGTGCTGCCTGGGATCAGAACTGAACATTCGTCTCGTCTCTGTGAACAGGAACAGTGTTGCCCGTGAAAAGTAATAGGAAGTGTGACTACAGAGAAAGACATCGTTGTGGTTTTATTAAATAATTTCCCGTGTATTGTACCAAGTTATTACAAAGTCGTGTTTCACTTTCCCTGCAATGTTAACTGTTCACGGCAAGGAGCTAGTGGTACATTACAAAGGGGAGCAGGTTCCCCCCAAAATGGGTCACCTTGAGCTCACGTTTAGCTGCACGAAGAGACCATCCAGCCGAGGACTATGCTGCATCCGCAAGGGAAATGTCACGTCTATGTGACAGGCCCTGATAGCAGGCCAAGGAGACCCCATTGCTGCTGGCCATCCTGCCCGCCACCACAGCTCTGGCCGAGCATGCATTTAACTTGCATATCGTGTCTCATTATCAAATGAGCGTATATGTAGAAAATGCAGAAAATCTGAAGCAAATAAAATTCACCAACCATCCAGGCAGGAAGAGACAAGCACTCCATCCATTTCTGATGGGTTCTGTGCTTTCATATGTTACACTCAGCCTAGAAAGAGCTACATGGATGATCACACTTCATATGCAATGTTATATGTCGCTCTTTTTTCCATTTAACATGGAAAGGTAACAACAAAAATAATTGTTTTACGTGAAGGTTCCATAATTTGTTTAACCAAGCTCTTCCTTGTTAGACATCTGGGCAGTTAGTTTCCTTCGTTTCTCTTTATCTTGTACTAGAAGTCTGGTGCACAAAATTTGTGCACAGGTAGGATCCCTCGCCCTGGCCAGTGATCAGGGCTGATCTGTGGGGCAACCGGCGGGGTGATCAAGGGGCCTCTGCTGGCACCCACCTTGGCCGGCCTGGGGCCTGCGGGCTGGGGGCAGCTCCTGCATTGAGCATCTGCCCCCTGGTGGTCAGTGTGCAACATAGCAACCAGTCCTTCCGCTCTTTTTTCCATTTAACATGGAAAGGTAACAACAAAAATAATTGTTTTACGTGAAGGTTCCATAATTTGTTTAACCAAGCTCTTCCTTGTTAGACATCTGGGCAGTTAGTTTCCTTCGTTTCTCTTTATCTTGTACTAGAAGTCTGGTGCACAAAATTTGTGCACAGGTAGGATCCCTCGCCCTGGCCAGTGATCAGGGCTGATCTGTGGGGCAACCGGCGGGGTGATCAAGGGGCCTCTGCTGGCACCCACCTTGGCCGGCCTGGGGCCTGCGGGCTGGGGGAAGCTCCTGCATTGAGCATCTGCTCCCTGGTGGTCAGTGTGCAGCATAGCAACCAGTCGTTCCACTGGTTGTTCTGCCATTCGGTCGATTTGCATATTAGGCTTTTACTATATAGGATTATTATTTTTTTAATCTCACCCGAAGATATTTTTTCCATTGATTTTTAGAGAGAGTGAAAGGGATGGAGGAAGGGAGGGAGGAAGGAAGAGAGAGAAAGAAAGAGAGAGAGAGGGAAACTTGGATGTGCGAGAAACACAACGACTGGTTGCCTCCCACATGTGCCCTGACTGGCCTAGGATCGAACCTGCACCCAGGTAAGTGCCCATGACCGGGAATCGAACCCTCTACCCTTTGGTGCGTGGGCCAGTGCACCAAACACGGAGCCACGTCGTCCAGGGCAGCTTCTGTTATTTATTGATTGGTTGGTTGCTTTGGTTTGGAGTTTTATTCTAAATAAAAATAGCAACAATATAAGTATTTAATTCATATGTTTTAAAATCTATTAATTTTGATTCTCTTCACAAAAATAACGGAAATTGCTATTTTGTTAACTAAAGAACAACAGGGGCGGTAACACGGAAGTAGGGGACGTATTTAAGTAATGGACACTATTGCATGTCCTGGGACAAGGGAGATAAAGCCTCAGAGATGAGGGGACCTGCCAGGTCACAAGGCCGGTGCAGGGCTAGAGCTGAAGTCCTCCCTCCTGCTCCACCCCTCCACGCTGCCCTCCCCCCCCATGTGCATCCAGAACAGCCAGGCTTCCCGTGACCATGGCCGTGATGCAGGGCACACCTGTCACCACGCCCAGCATGCTCCCCCTGCTGGCAGAAAGCTGGGTGCACAGCTGGGCACCCCCAAGCGCAGTGCTGGCAAAGCTAGCTCCATTTTGCAACCATCATTCACCCCAGTTCTGTTTCTCCTCCACCTCTGTCCGCTGGGTCGCCGAGGTGAGGTCGTACCTGTCCTGCCAGGAGTGGACTCCCCTTGAGCGAGGTGGCCTCCCCGCTCCGGGGCCATCGGCGGGGTCTGCGGCTCCTCCTCGTCGGCCTCCATGTCGCTGTCCAGGTAGCCGATCAGCAGCTCTGTGTCTGACTCTATGTCTTCAACCGCCAGGTAGAAAATGTTTTCTCCTTCCTGTTGCATGACCAACACAGCTCAGTGGAAACCGGGGAAGTTCCGGCGGGAATTAAGAAGTCATTGCAGAGACTGGGGGGCCATGCACCCTGAAAAGGCACTATTACTGTTTTCATGTCCAGTTAGTCTGGACACTGAAAAGGGAAACTGACAATATTCAGTCATCTTCACATAAAATACAAACGTATGTTATAGACAGTGACACTTACAGACATCAAATAAAATGAGGGTAACTGTTTAATCTTCTGAAAGTGACTGGCGCATCATTAATTGGCCTGTGCCGGCCGCCCTGAGGCCCGTAAACGCATCAGGAAGGACCTTGCTGAGTGTCCTTTCTGCACCCACACAGGGAGTGAGGACATATCAATGAAGTCATGTTGAATAACGTTTCACGCAAAACCGGAAGAAAAACTAACTTTCAAGTCTCAGCACACACCAAGCCCTGAAACCATTTCCAAAGCGCTGGACCGGAAACAGCAAACGGCATGGTACCTGGGCACTCAGAGCATCGTCTGGGTCCCCGTGGCACCCAAACCCCACCTCAGGGGCAGAGGGAGGGGAAAACAAGTCCCACCCACGCACCAAAGCTTCTCAGAAAATTCCAGAAGACAGAAACCAATGGGGCTGAAAGGATGGCTAACCACCGCAAGGGAAATCTCAGCCCCTAACAGACGGGGAGGGAGGCCACAGAAGCCCCGGGGACCTGCACGCCGGCCATCAGTGAGCACGAGGCCTGCTGCCTGGGCCGGCTGCAGGGAGCCACCGGGCAGCTGTGGTCCCGGGAGGAGTGCCGGAAGGCTGGCTTCCACAGGCCTGGGGACTTGTCCTGCGTGGGCTCCTGGCGTGGCTGCTGAGGGTGGAGAGAGGCAAAGCCAGCCTGGACTTACTGAAGCTTGAGGGAAGACGGGGGGCGGGAGAGGGACAAAGACAGAACCTCCAACAGGAGTAAAATCCCACTAGGCCAGCACAGAGGGAGCCTCCTTCTCCTCTGGGGGTCACAGCGCTCGTGGTGAAACGGGGGGCGGGGGGAGGGCCGTGAGGGGGGAGCAGGAGGAAGAGGAGTGTGTGTTTGCACGCATGCATGTATGTACTAGTTTGTATACAGAAGAAAGACTGGGAAAATATGCATCAAACTGTTTACAGTTCTCCTTTTGGGGTGGGAGAAGGGGGAGTCTATATTCAACGCTCTTTTAGATTTTTCCCTCCACAGACCGATTACTTCGTAATTTTAAAAACAAAATACACTAGAAAATGCCTTGGAAGCGAGAAAGGATGGTCATGTCCATCGGATACTGCACACAGGAGGCTGGGGTCCAAGTTCAAAGCCGGGAGCACACCCGACCACGGGCTACAGCTCCTGAAAGGAGGCGCCCGGAACACTCAGACCAGTGGTTCTCAACCTTCCTAATGCCGCGACCCTTTAATACAGCTCCTCATGTTGTGGTGACCCCCAATTTCATTGTTACAAATTGAACACAATTAAAGCATAGTGATTCATTACAAAAACAACATGTAATTATATGTGTGTTTTCCGGTGGTCTTAGGCGACCCCCAAAGGGTTCGCGACGCACAGGTTTAGAACCGCTGACTTAGAGATTCCTGGAAGGTTTTGAATCCCGTGCCTCCGAAAACCTAAAAAAGTGAGGTCTAAGTGAGAACATGGAATTAGCTTCCAAACAGCCATTACTCTGTGTGCAACACACACCAACACGCACCAACACGCACCAACACACACCAACACGCACCAACACACACCGACGCAGACACGCAGCACAGCGCTCGCTTCTTAAATTCACGCAGAAGCAGCACTCTCCGGGAGTCGTAAGCCACTTGCTAAGCGTTAGCCAAAGCAACCGAGGACGCTCCCGGCGAAGCCTTCAGAACAGTCATAAATCTCCGTGCTTATCTCGCCAACACCCAAGGAAGCTAATTAGTTAAACGTCTAGCGTACGTATTAGTCATTAATGTGGTGCCGGCCTTCGCAGCGCCAGGAAAGGAGCAATTTTTAATTTTAAAACGTGATACACGGACTGAAACGGCCCACAGTCACAAGACGCAGCATGCCTATCCGGGCTCTGACACAAGAGCAGGTCTGAACGCAGCAGCCACTTCAATCTACTGAGCGGAATGGCAGCGCTGTGGCTCCGGGACCGCCTGCAGGATCCCCCCTGAGAGCCAGGGGCGTGGAGGAGCAGCAGTGTCCTTCCGGCTGTGGCTCCAACCCATTCACTCTAGGGGACTGTCTAGACCAGGGATGGCGAACCTTTTGAGCTTGGCATGTCAGCATTCTGAAAAACCCTAACTTAACTCTGGTGCCGTGTCACATATAGAAATTTTTTGACATTTGCAACCATAGTAAAACAAAGACTTATATTTTTGATATTTATTTTATATATTTAAATGCCATTTAACAAAGAAAAATCAACCAAAAAAATGAGTTCGCGTGTCACCTCTGACACGCGTGTGATAGGTTCGCCATCCCTGGTCTAGACAGCTTCTCCTACCGCTGCCTGATCAGGGCCTCTTCCCGTCCCCTGGCTACCACAACGGCTTTGAGAAGTTTCCCCTCAATTGCCTCCTGGCCTACAGTGAACGGGTTTCATCCCTCAACAGCCATTCACTGACCTTCTCCTCCTGTCGGGGCCTCCCAGCGGGAACCTGCCAGAGGCCTTGCCTCCGGACTCAGGGTGATCTCCGCACCTGCTGCCTCCCCCCAGCCACCGCCAGCCCGTGGGCAAGAAGGCGTCAGGCCCATTGGCCCAGCCTCAGACTTAGCATCCGCTCCCTGCCGGCATCCGCCCGCCCGGCCACTTACTACCAGATGCTCACATGTTCATGTTCAGATCCCCAAATTCACTATCGCAGCCACCACGGTCGGCCGCTGGGTTGGATGGCACTGCCCTACACATAGTCCCTCCATCACAGCCACTCCCTGCATGACACCCCACGGGCTGGCCGCCTCCCGGTACCTCTGGGTTCCTGCCACCGGCTCTGGGTGATTCCGCTGAAAACGCTTCGCTGAAAGAGGCTGTTCGATGTCACAGCCTGTCCCAGAGCAACCGCTCTCAGCCTCTGGTGGCCGCCGTATTGGGGACGGGGAGACCCCCAGAGGGTGACTTGGCAGCCGTCATCATCTCCTGCATCCCTGCCCATCACTCAGAATTTCTTGTGGTTTTCAGGCTTCTTTCACTTGGTTTCATGTGCACGTCATTTTCAGCTACTTACTTCTCCTCTATGCTGTTCGTTATACCAAAAAGTGACAAGAGCTTGCCCGGACGGTGTGGCTCAGTGGTTGAGTGTCAACCTATGAACCAGGAGGTCTCGGTTCAATTCCCAGTCAGGGCACATGCCCGGGGTGCAGGCCTGATCCCCCCTGGGGGACAAGCAGGAGGCAGCAGATCAGTGATTCTCTTTCATCGTTGACGTTTCTGTCTCTCGCTCCCTTTCCCTTCCTCTCTGAGATCAATAAATGTGTATATGTGTATATATATATATATATATATGTTAAAACAGCTTAAATGCCCAAAGATGTAAGTTAGAAAGATAAAATGTCTAATAATTGGTTTTAGAAGATTTATTAAATGTAATATTTATGGAAAAAACTGTACACTATATGTTTATATATATGTATTGTGTGTGTGTGTGTGTGTCTGCACATGTGCACACGCGTGTGCCTCCAAAAGAACAAGCTATCGCCGAAACCGGTTTGGCTCAGTGGATAGAGCATCAGCCTCCGGACTGAAAGGTCCCAGGTTCGATTCCGGTCAAGGGCATGTACCTGGGTTGCGGGCACATCCCCAGTAGGAGATGTGCAGGAGGCAGCTGATCGATGTTTCTCTCTCATCGATCTTTCTAACTCTCTATCTCTCTCCCTTCTTCTCTGTAAAAAAATCAATAAAATATATTTAAAAAAAAAAAAGAACAAGCTATCGACAACGGTGTTAATACAGCTCGTTTCTAAGCAAAGGGGCTTTGGGGAATTCTGCATATTCCTCTGGCAGTCCCTATGTTATGATCTTTCTGGAACTGGCATGTAGTACTTGGGGGTAAAAGAGAACAATAGTATGGACCCTGCTCCTTGCTGCCAGGCAGTGGCCGGTGGGCCGCAGTGCCTGGCGGGGCTGCCAGGGCCCAGTCTCTCCCTGCCATGAATCAGCCAGGAGACCCCACAAGCCGCTTCCTCTCTCAGCCCCCAGTTCCTCATCTAGGAGGTGGGGGGGCATAACAGAGCTGCTCTAGGCGGGTCACGAGGAGGAAGACCCAGCAAGGTGCCCGGCACGCGGTAAGCCTGCATGACGGGGAGCGCTCAGTGTGCGATAACTCTGGAAATCCAGTGGTTACAATACTTTCTTTTCTTTCAAAACTGTCACACAAACCAAGTTGCTCTGACACTGCGGCTTTTCACCAAATGTCATCTGGCCACACTGAGCTCCGCCGAACCCTGAGCCAGCTCCCCGCCGCTGCCCACTCTGCGAGGCCCTGCCCCTGCGGGCCACTGCCCTGCCCTCTTCGGGCTCACCCCCTCCCTGGCCTGGTCCTCTGCACCACCTGCTCCTCTGGTCTATCCTTAAAGGGCCAGGCACCCGTTTTGCCTGGAACTGAGCTGGGTTCAGTCAGGGCGTGGGCTAAGTCAGGGAGCCCAGGCCACACTCACTCCAGCCGTGCTCTGCAGAGCCACTCCGCCCCTCACGGCCTCTGCCCGTGCTTGCGGCCCACCCCCTCTGCCGCCCAGCCCAGGGCGCTGAGCACACAGTCCTGTCCCCCGACAGGCCTCCCCGGGGGCTCTGTGACCTGAACCCGCTTGGTCCTGGCGTCCCAGCGGCCTTCCCGTGAACCTGCCTCCTGTGTCCACCTGGCTCACCTCCCCTCCACAGCCCCGGGCGCACGCCGGTCTCCGCGTGGTCACAAAGCACCGCTGCTGCTGCTCGGCCCACCCCGCCGCGACACCCCTCCAGTCCCCTGAATCCACGCAGGGGAGCTCGCTCTGCCTCAACTTCAGC